AAGGGAGTTTTTCCTTCCCACTGTCACCAAAGTGCTTGCTCATAGGGGGTCATATGATTGTTGGGTTTTTCTCTGTATGTATTATTGTAGGGACTACCTTACTGTCACGAGCTGCCATGGACTCAAGCGCAGATAAGGAAGCTAAAATACAGTTCCTTTTATTGATACACAACACCAGGTGCGACTATATACAGGTGAGAGGGCGAGGGGAATCCAGGGCACAGGGGAGTCCGGAAAAGGGGAATCTTCACACAGTTCCAGAAACACAGCACACCAGCAACTTAGCACATCCAGGGCTCCAAGGGAAAGAGATTCCCATTCACAGGAAACAAGCGGTTAATCTAACGAAGCAACAACGCAAAAAGACAACTAGAAACTAGCCCTCTGCAGCTTACTACCGAGGTTACTCAATAATCCAGCGATGAGATGTTTCCAGCCACTGCCTTAAGTAGTGGACGCTGGTGAAGTGATGAGCCACAGGTGTGTGATTATTAGAGAGAGGGAAAGGAAAACAAGAAACATATGTAGCCAACCTGGGTCAGCCGGGCAGACACGGCGACCATGACACTTACAATATAAAGCACCTTGAAGTGACTGTTGTTGTGATTATGCACTATACAAATAAAAAGGAATTGAATTAAAAATGTGGATTCCATGGATGGTCTGTGAATGGCGTCAATATGGCAGCAATGTAATGGATGACGTTGAAGATAAAAGGAGAGAGACTGCTTTACTTTGATACATTTGAATTTATGTTGATTTTAGATTTGACAAGGCATGCGCTGACATTACCACACATGGACTGGCCATCATAGAGTCCAGAATTTAACCCCACTAAGAATCTGTGAGATGTAGACGACTTTACGCTCTGGACAGAGGCAAATGTAAAACAGCATAAGCTTCCTGAAACAATGTCACAGCGAATGCCTGCCATCAACAAAGGTCGTCCAACTAATCAAGCACTCTGATACCACAGTGCTGTTGGTGTGTTAGGGTTCTTTGGACAAAGTATGGGTTGATGCCTTGCCCAAATATAACAGAAAGGAAGGCAGTTAATGCAAATCTCAGCAAGTCTGACATTTATGACCTTGTGATAGTAACATGTCCTTTACACCTGCCTCTTCTCTTTTTTTACTGACTCAGTCCCTCCATCCCTCCTGCAGCCTCCTTTTCCTCTCTCCCTGCCAGTCCAGATGTCAGTCACCCCCCCTTCTTGGCAGTTTCTCCCTCTGTCCCAAGCAGAGCTGGGCCCTCTTTTCTCCAACTTTAGCCCTTTTGCCTTTTCTCAGAGTATGTTCATGCTGCCTCCGACAGGGTGGGCTACCAAGCCCGGCCTCAGGGCTTCATTTGGCCCTCACTCTGTGACACAGGTAAGCAGAGGAGAAAAGATGATAAGAGATGGAGATGTAACTGAAAACCCCCACAGATTCATCTGTATTTTTTTTCATCCACAGCTTTTATCAGAGTCCGTCCTCCCTGCCTCTCCCCCTCTATCTGCCTCCCTTCTCTCAGAGAGCGTGGAAATAGAGCGGGATAAGAGAGGTCAGGAGAGGTTCAGGGTGAGGGTACTGTTTCACAAGCGAGGCAACATCAGTTCTGATCTTCGGACCTGCATCACTCTACTGGCTTTCAAGGAGACAGAGGAGCACAAGGCCTCCTGTATCACACAGGTGAAGAACAGATTTTGTAATGTTTTCTTTGTCTAATGTCTCTCTTTCTTGGTCAGTCGTTTCACTCCGTTTTCTTTTTACGACTACACGACTGTCTTGTTTCCCAGCCGCCTCTAGGTTTGTGTGTGGTAACTCTGACACTGCCCAGTTCCTGGTACAGCAATCCACTTGTCAACCAGTCGCATCCATGGTACAGTAATACCCGCCATACACATCAATGGATGCAGAAGCGAAAATGGCAACGGAGCATACGCCGTCACGGCAACCACCAGCAAGCAACTGCGCAGTTTCTGAGGTGACATGATTGCAGGACTAAAAAAGCACCAGCTGGAAATGAATTCATAGACTGACATTATTATTTATATGGTTTATAAAATCATAGCTGTACTGGTGACTTAAAGCACTTTAGACTGTAAACTACATGAAGTTAAACTTTAATTGGTGATAATGAAGGCAGACATGGCACTGAGATGGATATGTTCATGTGAACAAGGTTGCAGTCTCTGTATCACAGATCTGATCGAGTACTTTGTCAGTGCATTTTTTATGGTGTACTGCTACATTTAGCTTTTTTTATCATTGCCAACTTTTTCACCTCAGGAAAGCTTAAAAACATTGTAATGTTTACATTTTTGTTTCGGTATTTTTATGAGCAATTTGAATATCAGTTAAAAAACCAAACCAACCTGAAGAGACATGCACTGGTTACATTAGTCTGATGTAGTCTAACGGCCATTAAACTAAACTATGACACATTTAATTGCAAACAGTATTTTCTCCATATTTTTAATAATTTGTTATAATTGGAGGAGGAAGTGATGATTTTGGCTGCCTGTCTAAGGACCTGTTGGCTGAAAACCTGTCAGATTTCTGACAGGCAGGCCGATGATTTTAGAGCACACTGATGCAGTGCGCTGCAGTCTGTTCCTGTATGAAGGCTGAGGGAGTGGAACCAGCAGGTGATCGAGAAGGTCATGATGGTTTCCAGGAAGGCATAGTAGAAAGTCATCATGATGGGTGTGCTGACTCCAAAGCAGTTGAGTTATAAGGAGGTGTAGCCGTTGGTGGCACCTCCTGAGAATCTCCTCTGTGTTGGCAGAGAATTTCAGGAAGTTGTCAAAGATGGTTCCCAGGTATTTGTACTCCTCAACTACCTCCACTGGCTTCCCGTGGATGGTGGTGGTGACCGAAGCAGCCAGATCCCTCTGCCAGTCCACATGCTCCAGGTGTTCTTGGACAGCACAGTGTGATATTTAGACAGCACATAGAATAAGACTGCAAAAGGTCACCACCATGTCTTTGGTTTTGCTCACGTTCAGTTCAGTTATGCTAATGATTAAATCCCTCTAGTAAAGAGTAAACCTCACAGAGAGACGTTTGGCGTAAGAACATGAACATTTTGTGGAATAAGTGCATTCCACAAAATGTGAGCTCTTGCTTGAAGTAGTTTTCTATAAATGCCCAGTCCCAAAGTGTACTCGTGTCTCTTTCAGATACCATCCAAATATAGATGGGGACATGGATGGTCCACGGGCCCGCAGAAACCAACGGGGTCCCATGAAAAACCAAATACAGCTGTACTACTCAGTGGCGGACCTACAGATGACATCAGCAGGGTATGTTATAGCAAAATACTATGTTATTTTGTAAAGTGCTTTTTACTACACACTCAAATATGTATGCAGTCTTATTCTATGTGCTGTCTAAATATCACACTGTGCTGTCCAAGAACACCTGGAGCATGTGGATTGGAGGAGTCGGGGATCAAAACGCACAGCTTCTGATTGGTAGATGACCTTCGACTCAGTCTGCGTCACAGCCACTTGGACACATGATGAACTCATGATGAAGATTTTTAAAAAAGATTTTAATAAATAATAAAGAGACTCCATTTATATAGTCTTATCACCTTTTCAGCCACTGATAAACACATTGATGGTTTGCTTCAGTGGATGTGTTGACTGTTACAGAGATGAAGTTACATGGGGGTGGCTGTAGCTCAGGACCTAGAGCAGATGTTGATGTTTTGATCCCATATCTGCTCTACATGCCAAAGAGTCCACAGGCAGATAGTGAACCCCAAGCTACTATCCAATGCATTCACCTGCATTTCAGTGTTAGAAGCACTTTGGTGAAGAAAAAACTGCAACAAGTGAATGAGGCATATTTAGAAAGTGTTCAATTAGAGCTGAAAAATTGCCAAATAAGAAAATAGCCCTGCAGTAAAAAAGATATGTTTAAACATGATACATTTTATAAACCAAATAATTTCTGAGTGGTGCTAATCTGAAGTGTTGGTGGAGTCAGCGTTTATATAAAGAGGAATATGGCAGGAGAAAACTCATCTGTTACAATGGTGAATGAGAAATCCTGTTTACTTGCTAATCTTAGCTCTGTTTCGACACAAACCACAGATGGAAACTGATATCAGTACAGTGCAAATGGCAGTTTGGATTGCACGCTAAGCTCCCATCAGTCTCATCAAAGATCAGAGGCTTATCTACAATGTGCATCCAGAAAAAGCTGCTGGCCTCTCAGCTTGACAAAGTCCACCCATTAATAGGACATGGACACACCCATGAGAATGCCGACCCCTTTCTATAATCGAGTGAACTTAATCCTGATTCCAGGGACGATAGAAAGCTGGGGCCAAAGGGTGATGGTGATCTATAGCATGGGAACCTTTATGATAGAAGACAGATCCTTTTACTTTGGTATGTCTGTTATTAGATTTCACCAGATAAGCACTGCTTGCCTTCCTTTCCATGATGGAGCTCCACTGGGGCATGGCAAAGAGCTGAACAGTGAGAGAGCATTAGATGGGTGTAGCTTCTCTCAGGCTCAGACCACTTTGTCTCGTGCCTTTTTTCTCTGTGTCTGTTGTCACTTGAGTGGAGGTCTGGTGTTGGAACACAGGGCACAGACTTGTGGCCTGTTGCCTCTGGTTCTCTGGTCTCTCACCCTGTGGCCGTGGGCGCTCCATGTGGAGCCTCTCTCCATCTGCTGGGATGGGCGTGCAGTTGTTGCTGTGATGTGTGGCCTCAGGTCTTCGACAGTCTTTTGCTGGGTCTCTGTCTGTTTGTCTTTCATCCACTGAGGGCATCTGTGTCACATTTCATGACAAATGCGCACACACACACAAACATGCACGCACACACGCACACACAAACATGCACACACACACACACACACACACAAATATGCACGCACACACACAAATATGCACACACACACACGCACACACACACACACA